GCCTTGACAACAGAAACAAAGGAACTCAGTGGGACTCTTCCCTTGGTTAAATAGTACTGGATGGTTCTGATTTGTCACATCTCCAGTTTCCTTGCCCTGTTCTCACTAGGCTTTAGTGACTGAGGAAGAAATCCCAGTCTAGCAGCTGCCCAGTATTTTGTTGTTGTTACTGTAATTGGTTGGTTGGTTGGTTTTGTTTTGTTTTCAAGACAGGGTTTCCCTGTGGCTTTGGAACTAGCTCTTGGAGACCAGGCTGGTCTTGAACTCACAGAGATCCACCTGCCTCTGCCTCCTGAGTGCTGGTATTAAAGGCGTGCACCACCACTTGGCTTTTTTTTTTTTTTTTTTTGGTTTGGAGTATTTTATTTTTTATTTTATATAACAAAGTCCAATTAAATGAAAACAAACATTTATACACAATATTTGGGAATTTGGGCGTTGTTCTTTCCAAACTACTTCCTGCTGTCATGGGGGATTCGAAGAAGATTCAGATATCCCGGCTGTAGTCTGTAGGGCTGTTTTGTCCAGCTGTTTTGAATGTAGGATCAGCTTGTACTCTGTTTCAGGCGGTCTGGCGTGAGATCAACAACTAACTTCTCCATGGAGCCCTCAACTAATGCCTGTTGAAAATAGGAGCAAACACCCATACATAAACACTGAGTCGAACTAGAACCCAGAAGCAGATGGAGAGGACAAGACCATGCGGCAGAAACACATAGAGACAGCTTACCTGAACAAGGAGGAGCTAAGGGCCACTAGACTGATAGCTGGGAAGCCAGAATGGGACTGAGTCAGGCCCCCCTGAATATGGGTCTCAGCCAGAAGGACTGAGCAGTCTAAGAGACCTCAGACAGTGGAGCCAGGATGTATCCCTGGTGCACAAAAGGACCTTGTGAACACATCCCCCATGGAGGGATAACTGCCTTAATCTAGAGACAGGAGAGAAGCCCTAGTCCCTACTTCACATGACCTGTCACATCTACATGACCCCAACTGGATGGCATTGCCCTACATATGGAATTGGGGTGGGGGGATGGGAGGGGAAGGTTTTGAGTATTTTATAAACAACATTAATGTTTTGAGAATTTCATACAATTTTGATCACATTTCTCCACCTTGCCCAACCCATTCCTACTTCTCTACTCACACAGCTTCACATGTTCCCCTTCTTTTTAGCTCATTGAGTGGAATTGTACTGCAGAAATGCTGTTGGGCATTGAGCCTGCCCTAGAATGTGGTAGTCATATCTTTAAAGAAAACCTACTTTCTGCCTCCTAGAAGCTATCAGTGGCCAACAGGCCCTCAGCTAAGGGTGGGCTTTGTGTTCTCCTTCCTTTCTCCATGCTGGAGTTTTTGTGTGCCTTGAGCTTGTATAGGTCTTGTGCATGCTGTCATAGTTTCTGTGTGTTCTTGATTCTGGGGATGGAATTAAGGTGGTCAGGCTGGGTAGTAGTTGCCTTTATCTGCTGAGCCATCTTGCCAGTCTTGAGCACTTTTTAAATGTGTGTGTCTTTGGAAGAAGGGATTTCCCTGATTTTGTTCCTTATCTCTCACCATACTACAGTGAGACGATCTGGCCAGACTGAAAGGGCTTTGCTATGTTGTGTGGGGTGGGGAGAAAATGCCCCAACCCCCAACCATTTTACTAGCCCCTGTTCCTTACTTAGATTTTTTTTTGTTTTAAACATTTATTTATTTACGTATTATGTATACAGTATTCTTTTGCCTGAACACCATAAGTGGGCACCAGATATGCTTACAGATGGTTGTGACCCCCTCCATGTGGTAGCTGGGAATTGAACTCAGGACCTCTAGAAGTAGACCTCTAGAAGAGCAGCTAGGGCTCTTAACCTCTGAGCCATTTATCCACCCTGCCGCTTTCTTTGTAGATATTTTGAATGACTGTCTGTTACAGTTACCCTTATTAGAAGTTGTGATTAACTAAAACATCTGAAGGACAGAATGAAGAAAGTGCTTGCAGCTGTGGGAGGAGAGAAGACAGATCTATGGATGCAGAATGATTGGAAAGAATGTGTTCCCAGTCTTCCATTTTTTTTTTTCTGCTACAAATCCTTCAACAACCTCTATGGTTTACAGAGCACTCTAGATGTTTGTGGTCATAGCTGAGATTTCTAGATGGCATACGTCTCACATTGGAAAAAGCACTGTAATTTCTGATTGCTTTTCCCAGACAGGCCTGTCAGCGACTGTAGTGTTTCTTTGGCTTGCATAGCTGTGCCACATAGGTAGGCTCCCAGTTCCCATGGGCTTTTGAAGGCCTTGTAGCTCTCCATCAGCTTCTGCAGTAGCCTGCAGTCTCCTAGTGCTGCACATGTCTTCTAGAATGACTACAGATAATAAAGTGCCGTGGTGCTGGAGGTGTCTGCCAGATGACGCCGAGCAACATACTCTACAAGTCAATTGTCACATCTGGAAGGCCCAGAGCTCACAGTTGGGATAAAAGCCAGACGCTAGTACTGAAGGTTCATATCCGTGTGACTCTCTGGCCTGAGCCAGGGACTGCAGCTCCAGTTTATATGACTTCTGCTGTGCCTTCCAGGCTACCTGCTGCTCTTGATTTTATCACTTGCTTCCCACTCAGAATATCATTAATAAGAATGCCAGGCAGCTTTCTCTCCCAGACTTTCTGAATAGATTTCCATCAACACGAATAGCCCTGGCTGCTGCACAAATACAGACAGTAGCATGAATGTACTCTAGCTGAAAATGCTGTGTTTCACAGTGGGGGATGGGTTATCTGAACTCTCTTCTCCACTCCGCCATTGTGTTACCTGGGTCTGGCCTTCTCTTGACCTTAGTATCCTCATCTGGAAAAGTGCGGTTAATTGGATGATGTTTAATGGGCCTTGCATTTTTGACACCGTAGGCTGAAAATATGTAGAATTTATAAGGAAGCAGTTTGTAAATGGTCGTGTTCAGGAGAGTACCCTTTCTTTTTCCCTTGGCAGAGACAATCAGATCATATTTGGTTCTTGACACCATAAAGTGACTAAAACTTCAAAGAACTAAAAGCAATCAGATGTAAACAGCAACGTAAAATGTGTGCATGATATTAACATACTTTTCTTCACTCAGCAAGAGTTCTAGTTTAATCTGTCACTTCCAATATTCTATCAGCATGTTTCAGCCCATTTAGGTTAAGTAGCTACAATAATTTGGAATGGATTAATGACTCTTATATACGGACTGTAAGTGCCCTAGGGAGAATCCAGTGAGGCCTTGCTCTGAGACTGTGGGCTCGTAGGCGTGCTTAAAAGCCCACGTTTACTATTGGCAACATGTTGCAGATGGCTCAGAATGGATTCAGTCATATCTGAACTCATGGGAGAAAGGGTAATTATGGCGCAGATGTTCAGAAGGTCCTCCCTGTGCCACATGGAGGTCCAGGCTTGAGATGTGAGGCTAGTTCACCATTGCTGCTTTTGTAAGGTATGGTCTCCATGGCAACATGATCAGTGACTCTCTTTTCCCAACTGAGAAACGGGGTCACAGAGCTTTAGTTATTCAAATTTGAAGTAGCATGCTTCATGCATGAGCAAGCATTCCCCTCAAATGTAAAATTGACACTTCTCTTTCATCTCTCTTCTCCTTTAGCCAAAGATAACAGAACTGATTTCTCTAATCTAAGTGCGGTCCCCTTCAGTATGCTCAATGCAGGGCTAATTGCTATTCTGGGATAAACATGAACTCCAATTTACCTAACATTTAAAAAAGATAATTTCATTGTATTCGAGCATGTGTGTGTGCGTGCGTGTCTGTGTGTGTTTGCCTGTCTGTAGTGTGTCACATGTGTGCAGTGCCCATAGAAGCCAGAAGGGAGCATCAAATCTCCTGGAGCTGGAGTTGCACATGGTTGTAAGCCTCTTGGTGTGGGGCACTGGATCCGGGTCACTTAGAAGAAGAAGTGCTATAGCAAATGTTCTCAACCATTGAGCCATCTCTCTAGCTCCAGACAATGTTGTTTGAGCACCTACTATGTCCTAGTATAGTAGGCACTGATGGTCATTTACATACTTAAAAAATTTCAGATGCAAACATGCTGTTTCTAAGTTTAGTCACCATTATTGGTAATGCTACACAGGGAGCCTCTACTCGAATATTTGTTAAATGAAAGAATGAAGAAAAAAAAAAACCCTACATATTTTTAACACCTCAAAGGCCTTTGAATAGTGTCTCCTCAAACTCTCTCATTATATAAAATGGAGGCACTAATTCCTCAAAGGGTATGTGACTTATTCAAGGCCATACATACAGTTAAATAGACCTGTAAATGGATTCAGGTTATGTTCTCTTCAGATGCAGTGCAAACGTCTCATGAAGTTTAAGACCATTGGAGCATGAAGTCAGTGTCACATTTCATCAGACACATTCTTTCCATGGTTTTGCTGATTGTGTTCTTTGAGATACACCTCTAAATGATTTAACAAGAAATACTTGAAGAAATTTGAAGGATGTTTATTGATACTTTTCGCAGTAAGTAGTGGGAAATGAGTACAGTCAGCAGTAGCAAAGGAGAGTTTGTTTGGTGGGTCAGGTGGCAATGCCAACAGGTTCAAAACATGCTTTTGTCATTTGTCCCATTTATGCATCATTAAGTACTCAGTATCAAACAAATTTTGAAAAAAATCCAGATAAGAATTAAAATGCAAGTTCATTAAGCCACAGATGGAAAACCTGTTGGCCTGTCAGCAACCCTCTAGAAAATTCAGTATAACAAGATTAGTTATAACAGCAAAGCTCATGGTGAGCTGAAAACCAGAAACAGGCAATTCAGTTGGCCATTTGCAATAACTCCCATCCTTGAGCCTGTTGTGGGAAACATGACACTCATATTGGTTGTCTTATTTAGGCAAGTTGTCTTATTGATTGGCACTGGAGAATGCTGAAGACACACTGTTAAAATATTCCTTGTAAGCTCTGCTAGTTCTAGGTTAAAAACTGGCTAAAGCCCTGTTTTAAGATCAATTTTGCATATATTTTCTCAACTCCCTGGTTCAGTAACTTCATAGTAATAGCTTGAAATCTACCAAGGTATTTACACCATAGAAATGAGCAATTGTTACAAATAAGGTTTTGAGGTGTTTTTAAAGAGACCATCTTGCTTATTTACCAATATGCTACTACACATAGTTTAATTATCTGGCTAAATTCATCATTTAATTTTTCTTTTTCTTTCTTGTTCTTTTTCTTCAAGACAGAGTTTCTGTGTGTAGTCCTGGAACTCACTCTGTATACCAGGCTGGCCTCAAACAAACAGAGATCCACCTGCCTCTGCCTCCCATGTGCTGGGATTAAAGGCGTGCACCACTCTGCCTGGCTCATCATTAACTTTCTATTAGCATGACTTTTTTTCAGATAGGCAAACATTTTGACCAATGTTGTTTATATACTTGTAATGACATGTGAGTGTGCCTTCTTGGAAACATCCCTAGTTAGGTGTCCATGATCATCAATCACACAGTCTTCAGTAACTGTCCTGGGTGGTACATTGATGAGACAGTTCCCCTTATGATCATCGGTAGTGTACTTCATCTCCATGTTGTTCAAATTAAGTTTGAGACCCAAATGAAAGGAAATAGGGGGTTGGCGGGTGTGTATATATGTGTATGGCATTAAAAAAGACAGTCCTCTTCCTCCTCCAAAGGCTAGGGAGAGGGAGAGTGTGAGTGAGTGAGGGGAACATTGATTTTGGGATTGGAAGTTTGAAAAGACACAGAATTCAGAAGAAAAACAGGAGAGGAAGTGATGCTTTTCAGAGTTTTAACCTAGCAGCTGCTACTGTGTGCTTCTTGCCTTAAATGAGCTAAAGACTCTGGATAGAAAACCAATAAATTTGAGAGAGGCAAGGAAGATCTGAAACATGGATTGCTTCTAAGGAGGGATAATGGGGTTAGTTATCACAGTTGAGAACCATGCTGAAAACTATGGAAAACTTCACTTTCTAAGTTTGCCAAGGGCTGGACTCATGGAAACATTAAAATCTCTTATCAAACTAGTTCTCTAGTGATTACTTTCTCTAACCTACTTGATCTAGTATTATATAGATTCTACTTGGCATCCTCCTCTGCACAGAGAAAAATCAGAATATTTTGCACATATATAGTCAGATTTAACAAGAGTTGGCAAAATGACTGGTTAGTAAAGGGCTTGGTCTATTTTCAGTCCTAGTGAATTGCCTTCAGAAATAGGTTTTTCCTTAAATTAGCTTTGTTTTTTCCTTAATCCAGTTGACATACCGGGAAACCTTAGTATATATTCCATATTTACCTTTCATTGCACATTCTTCACCCCAACTAATAATGCCAGTTAAGAAACTGGTCCCTTCCACTTCAGTGACATGAGGTCCCCCGCTATCTCCTTCACAAGAATCTTTGCCTCCTTCCCGGTAACCAGCACAAAACATATTGTTATAGATGGTGAATGTTGTGGACCGAAGGCATGTGGCTCGGTCAACCAGTGGAACTCTAAGGTACTGAAGAATGGAAGCCTGTCTCCCTTTGTTGAAGACTTTTCCCCAGCCACTTACATAGCCAGAACCAAACTTGAGGAAGATGTTTGTATATTCCCTATTGGCAACACAGATAGGTGTCACATAGCTGTTTAGTATTAAAGGTTTATCCAGCTCCAGCAAGGCAATGTCGTGACTGTACTTATTAATAGATGCATTGTAGTGGTGATGAGGGATTGTTTGAATCACATTTCGCCTTTGCTCGGTGTCTTCCTTTTCATCAATGTTATATTCACCTGTTGAACACAAATCTTGTAGTTTATTGCTTTTTGCATAAACACATTTTCCATGGGTCTACAGTCTGCTTGGGTTCGCTGATCAGTAGCAACCAAGACTCAATGATCTAATGTAGTGGATGAGGAAATTGGTGCATCAATAAATAATTCTACCATGTTAAGAGTGTTTTGTGGTTTCAAAAATGAATTATGGGGATTAGAAGGTGACATATGTTAGAATTTGAAATTGTGGTCCCTATACCATTAGCCCAGTTTAGTAACAATCACACTTATGTGGCTAATTATTGTCTGTTTTGTTTACTTACCTGCAACAACTTCAATTTTATCACCAGGTTTAAGACAGTGGGCAGCAGTTACAACCCATTTTTCATTAATGATGGCACCTCCACAGAATGCCTCAACCTCACCATTTAAAATGACCTGTGGGGGTAAAATTAAGAATCTCACTGCATATGATATTTGATGCAGGGAAAAATGAATACATATGCTGTTGTCTGGAATGGGTAAAGTTGGCTTCTAGGTGCTGGCAGAAGTGGAGGATTTCTGGAATGTGTCAGCTCTGCAGATGAATGAGTGTTTCTGAAGCACAAACTGAACAGCTGCTTCTGTAATGATCTTGAAGCGAATGCAGAAGGACAGAGTGTGGTAGGGACAGTGCTCCGGGCGGGGCAAATCTGAGGAGTGACATTTTTGTGATGTGGGGCCCTTGAGCTCCTTTTCCCACGTTATCTAGAGTCTGCTGGCACAAGCTTTTCAAAGAGATACATACTAACTCCCCAGGCTGAATAATTACTATTGAGTCCCTTGCCTTGTATGAGGGCATCTCTTTGTTACATGTCACTTGGAAGAGAAAAATGACCAATTCTCTCAGGAGGTGTTTCAGATTTGAATATTCTGAAATGAGGCCTGAGGACTGCGTAGTGGCTGTGTTTATTAGTCACCTATGTGCTGGTCACCATTAGGGCCGACACATTCCTCCCACCGCCCCTAATCACAGCCAGTTTCCTCTGGCTATAAATGTAGGCTGGCTTTGTTCTAAATGGTCTGCTTTGCTGAACTTGATTTTTAGACAATGTGGATGAAAGTGTCTAGAGTGCTGCATTAAACACGGATGTTATTAGATAAGAGGCTAATCTATTTTCTCTTGTCCATATTCACATCATAATCAAAGGGGACCATTAATGTGTGTGTGTGTGTGTGTGTGTGTGTTTAACCAAATCAATGTCTAAATCAACTTAGTTCCAGTTTGCATGTAAACAAAGGCCTTGAGCCGCATTTTCAGGGATAAAGCTGAGAAGTGTGGACACTAGAGGGCACACTTAGCATTCAGTCAACTCTTCGCAGGAGCTCAATAGCCTCTGAACTGATGCCCTTTGCCTAGGTGGGAAGTAGCCCTTCAGCTAAACCTGGTCTTAAACAAGACAAAGGGGGATGTTGGTCCCTTTGGGGGTGGGGCAGAGAGGATCCCTCTTGAAGGACTTGTTCAGGGTCTGAACTCAACTTACTGAATAGCTACTGTGTCCTGGGCACTGAAGCACTAGCTTTGTACCTAAAGTCCTGAGCGGCTCACCCCGTTATCACCTTCTTTCCCGTGCTCAGGCTCTCTGGCTCTTTGCAGCTATTGAATTATCTTTTGAGAAAGTGCAAAAATACAGAAAAAAAACACAATGACATAATAAACATCAGCATTTTTACCACCCAGATTTAACAGTCTTCCTAATTTTCTACGTTGAGTGACTGATTGTTTGGGGCAAATGATTGTATTGCTTATACACACTTGTAACTCCAGGCACAATCCACGATGAAATATTACTCTATGCATTTTCAATGAGAAAACTGAGCTGTAAAGATATGTGATCACTCATGCTACTGAAATGACACAGTAGGTAAAGTGCCACCAAACCGAGCGGCCTTAGTTTAATCCCTGGAACCCACATGTGTGCTGTGGCATATGTCACACACACACACACACACACACACACACCCCAAGTCTGTCCGACCCCAGTGTTTATGTTCCTGAACATTCAGAATCTCAGAGGCTGTTCGAGGACAAAATGTGGTAGAATAACCTCTGCTTCTTGTAAAAACAGATTTGGGAGCTTGTAGAGACTCAATGAGAATATTTTGTGCATAGGACCACGGAAAGTGGATCTCTGGGATATTCTTACAGGTCTTACCATTACGGTTGAGAAGTGTTACATAACTAGTGAATTTAGATTCTCACGGCTTAGTAATCTTTATGTTTTAAAAATGTTCATTCAGGCTGGGCACATATTGTGTAGGGTCAATAGGAAACAAAAATCTGAGTTCCTTTGTTTTAAAGCCAAGATAAAAGTGCCTGTTGAAGATAGGAAATAGAAAGCATTCCTTTTTCTTCTAGGGTAGCTTTTATAAGCCATCATTTAAAATTTATTTAGTACTGTACTCCTTCTGGCATGGGGATATTTTCTGGTTGACTGCAAGCCTTCACAGGTGCCCAGGAGCTGGAGTCTGCAGTTTAGCACACATAGTCTTACATCCTTCTCTCTGTCTGCTAGCACCAGATGATCCCCACACACCTTGCACCATTCCTAATGGGACGGTAAGTCATTCTTCCCCTGATAGACTGCCAAGGGAGAGAGGTAATTCCCAAATAAATGCACTTCTATGTCAGGATGTGTATGGAACCTGGAAGCCCCTACTCACTCTCCGAATGTGCAGGGAGAAGCACATTCTGGGTGCAGAGATGCTATGTGATGCTATGCACCCTCCCCCAAGTGATATAGTATGTGCAATTAACCTTAATCTTCCCTCTGCCTGTGCCAGCCCTGCCAGGAACACAGTGCAGCAATGGCATTTGGGTTGAAGCAATGAGAGGAAGTTTGCCTGAGTACCATGGCAGTGGTCACTGGGCAACTGTCGGGGGAGGTAGGTTCTATAAGGCACCATGGGTAGGGGAGTGGGAGGTGGTCAAAGATGTGACTACAACAATCCAAGATTTCAGGTCCTCAGCATGTGTTCTATTGTTTCTTTAGACCTCGGTTATGGAACACAAATAAAAAATACTTCACCTTTGATATGAGACCCCTTTCAGTATAGAACACAGTACAAGTGTACTGTTCAAAAGACGAGGAACCAGTATTTATCCCTACTATATGAACTGGCTTTTTGGAGCCCATTCCCTATAGAGGGATGCATTGCTTAGCCTGGATGCAGGGGGAAGGGCCTTGATCCTGCCACAAATAATGTGGCAGACTTTGATGATTCCCCATGGGAGGCCTCATCCTCTCTGAGGTGTGGATGGGGGTGAGGTGGGGAGAGGGTGGGGGAAGTGAAAGGGAGGGGGAACTGGTATTATATAAAATAAGATTGTTTTAAAAATGATAAAAGTAAATATAAAACAGAAAAAATGGTTATGGATCTTCTGAACTGCAATTTCTTAAAAGAGGAAATAAAAATGGCCAGAAATATCTTTAAAAAAATGAGGTGGATTATCCCAATCCCAAATTGTTTTTTACCATCAATTAAATTTAGGTAACATGGTTTTATGCTGGTTCTGAATATTATAATCCAACATATTTTCATCTGGAAGTAAAATTAACATGCCACAATGGAATGTTGTTTCTCTTTTAGGTACTATTATAGGATTACTACACACCTCCCAGCTTAGTGGGTTAGATATGTCAGCCTGAAGTATATCCGCAGCCCCTAGCTAGGCACATAGTCATATTTTATATGACTCTGCCATAGGATTGCTGCCTGGAGACTCTATTGCTTTCCAGTGGATGCCTGAGAAATATGGTTGTGTCCTTTTTGAGCTCGAAGAACATTCTTTGCCAATCCCTAATTGGTATTAAAAATTTTAGCAAACGTCTTTGCCAAGAAAAAAGGGATGAAGATATATTTACAATTACAATATTACAAATGCATGGTTTGGAATGTTTGCTTGGCCATCTCAGGATCATAGCTATCTAAATATTAGCAACTTGGAAAACGAGCAGTTTGCTTGGCCAACGACAAATTTTTGCAAGACTTCAGAGAATGATGGGGAAAAATAGGAAAGCATATGTCCCGAGTAAGATATCTGAGTTCTGATCTGTCAATTATTTTCATGGTCACAGTCTAGTGGTAGATTCCTTCTGTCTAATACTGCCCCCATCCCTGACATACCTGTATACAATGACAAAATACATACAATCTGCATTTGTACTCTTCATGGCAATGGCAGCACACAATAGCTATTGACTCACTGTTCTCTCTTTAATCTTTAACTCCAGTCTAGCCATTTCCTCTGAGTTCACTAAAACGTGTATTCTCACTTGCCATCTATTCTAGCTTTCTAATAACACCATTTGTTCCACGTTTTCTATTATACAAAGTAAGATGCATGCTGTACTGTTTGCTAGACCCATAGATGCTGCTCAACAAAGTCATGGCAGTGGGTTATTTTGTTGAACACATAAGGAATACTCACTTTGGTTTTTAATTGTTAGCTATAACCATTAAATACAATGGTTATTGATATATACTTCATCAAACAATACTGCAAGTTAATTGTCCAAATGGTCTGTCCAAACTAGCTTTGTAGATGTACATGAGATTATACATATTATTTTATTTTTTATCCTAGTTGGAATTTCATCATCTGAGCTATGAATAATACAAGGTTGTCTTTCTCAAGTAGGATATTTGTTTCTTTCTTTTTCATTTATTATTTATTTGATTTTTTTTGACACAGGGTTCCTTTGGTAGCCCGGTTGTCCTAGAACTAGCTAGCTCTGTAGACCAGGCTGGCCTTCAACTCGCAAATACCTGTCTGCCTCTGCCTCCTGAGTGCTGGGCTTAAGAGTCTGTGCTTCCACTATCTGGCTTTTGTTTTGTCTTAGAGACAGGTCTCGCTATGTAGCCCTGGCTGAACTGGAACATAGTATGTAGACAAGGCTACCCTTAAACTCGCAGAAATCCATCTGCTTCTGCCTTTTGAGTGCTGGGATTAAAGGTGTGCACTACCACACATAGATAAGTAAATCATTTCTGTAGAATTATGATTATCATGTAAAAGGAAACATCTCTGGCTCATTCGTATTTTACATTTGCTGTTTGTAATGGGGTTGTAACATAGTCGAAGGAGTAGTTAAGTGCAGATACCAGCATAAGCAAAGAGCTCAGGTCACTTCAATGATAGCTTGTCGACTGAGCTGGGGAAAGCTGAGAATGGGGAAATGAAGATGTTTGTTTCTTATGTAGGGCTGCACAGAGCTTATCGGAGAGCAGAAAAGGGTTGCCCATGCTCAGAGCTGTCAGATTAGCAATGGCTGTGGGAGAAAAACTAAATTAAAGTTTTAGACAGGCCCTCTGCTTTGGAGTTGTGGATGAGAGTGATCTAGTAATACAAGCATTACAGTTTGCCTTTCCCTCCCTCTAATGTTCCAAAGCTTTTATTCTTTCCTATGTAGCTAATTAAGTTTCTCAGTTGGCTGGATACAGTTTTGACAAAAAGCATCTTTCTGTTAACATGTGGTGCACTTAGCACTCTGACTTCCCTCTCATCCCCTGAAGTGCTCCTTCTGAGTCCCTGCTTCTTTTTTCAAGGAGCTCTGATCCTACTGCAGGAGCACCTGAAGGCCTGGCCTCTCCTGCCTGGTTTGCACCTTTGGCCTGGGTGGAGGGGAGGGGAGGAGTGTGAGCCTGAACTGGGTAACTGTGCAGCTCAGGATCCCTAGAGCTCCTAGGAAGTAACCCTATCTGTCCTGATAGGTCACTTAGGCCCTGTCCACTAGCCAGGCAAAGGAAGTGGAAGCCCTGGAATAAGGTGAGAAATGACAGCGACAGTGGTCATGCTCCCTGAAATCTCCTAGTCACTCAACTAGTGGACTGACTCTCAGCCTAGTTCCAAAACATTTGCTCGAACAAGACTCCCGTTAAACCATTTCATGTCATACGGCAGAAATGATATTCTTTGTTAATAAGTCCCCAAATAGAATTGCTTTATGCCCATCCAGCACATTAAGGATCACTGTCATAAAATAAGATTTTTTTTTTTTGGTTAGGGCCACTGTGGTGGTTGAAATGGAAAATGTCCCCTCCACAGGCTCAGGTATTTGAATACTTGCTTCCTAGCTAGTAGTGCTGTTTGGGGAGCTGGAGCTGCCTTGCTGGAGGAAGTACATCACTAGGGTGGCCTTTGAGAGCTTGCATCCTCAACCTATCTCCATTTTGGGGGTTGAAGATGTGAGTTCCTGCTGCCGTGCCTCCCTCACCATAATGGACTCTTATCCCTTTGGAATCATAAACCCAAGTAAGATCCCCCTTCCTTAAGTTCCCTTTGGTCATGGTGTGTTATCACAGCAGCAGAATAGTAACTAATGCAAACACCTTGTACACGGACATTGGACATATAAGGGAAAATACAGGACAATTAAAAAAAAACAGAATTAGAATTAGCTACACTGATAATAAATGGAGTGAAGACATCACAATGTCTGGACCCATGAGAGACGCCACCACTAGCAAGGGTTCGTTTGACCAAGAGTAGTGAAGAGCAACAACGACGTGGGGAGCAAAGGAAAGGGTGACAGGGTGTACGGGAGGTAGCTCTGCCAAGGGGCCCTGCAGGAGGGGGGAGAGTGTAGAAATGTATGTACAGACTTGTGTATTGTCTACAGTCTCAGTGACTATGTGATTTTCTTCCATCCCAAAGTTTATGTTTGATAGCTTTCATCTACTATAGTAGAAAGTGACAGAATCGCAGGCATTTTGAAGAACCCTGGATAGACACATAGCTAGGATGCATAGTCACTTTCTGACATTTCTGGTGTTGTCAAACCTGTAATTCAGATGAATACATCTACCTGACCTTGGTTCCTTAAATGGTAACTAATTTGATGATTGCCGTGGCATCCAAGCTATCAGTCTATGATGGTAAAAGTCCGTACTTCATCAGAGAATATATTTTGGTATGAAGAATCTTTCAAATGACTACCAAATTATGAATATGGCCTAAACTAGACTAAACCATGATACATACTATCCAACAGAAATGCATGTAATTATGGAAATATTCTCTTTATCCCTGCCCTGTCTAGTACAATAGTCACCAACCACATGTGGCCATTATTCCCTGGAAGTGTGGAAGACGTGACAGAGGAATCAAATCTTTTTAACCAGTTAATTTAAGTAACCACATGTGCTGATTACCTTATGGACCAGCCCAATTTTATGTGAGGAGCAAACTAGCTCCCTGTACTGAGTTAGGAAGAAGTGGCCTGTTTCACCTCACAGATGGACTTGCTTAGGCTTTGCTTAAATGGATAGTTAAGTCCTGGGTTTGCTAGTAATTTAACTCTTGGTTATATATAAAAATACACATAGGTAATACCGTATATGCAGAACATACTTGGAGGATGGTGTAGGTCAAGTCCATTATTTGTCATTTTGGAAGCTGGTTTCTGTGTGCTTCCTTTAGAACTGTGGTTTTACAAGCTACAGTATATATCAGAATGACCAGGAGGGCTTCTTTAAAACCCTGCTTGTTAGGTCTCTCCCTCTAGTGGTTTGAATCCAGTGGAAATGGGATGGAGTGTGAGATTGCATGCCTAACAAATTCTTGGTGATCTGGGCATACTGCCAGACTTGGAGAAATGTGGCAGTAGATCAGGTCCCATATGGTTATTCTAGGAAACTAGTTTTTGCCTTAACCCTTTCCAAGTGAGTGATTTTCTTTATTCCTATCAGTTTGTCTGGGCCTAGAGACTTTCTTACTAGTCTTCCCCCACCCCCCGGGTTAAGTGTTTGGCGAGTCCCAGTGTAGTTTGTTGCCGTGTGTGTGTGTGTGTGTGTGTGTGTGTGTGTAAGAGAGAGAGAGACAGACACAGGGAGAGAGAGAGAGAGAGAGAGAGAGAGAGAGAGAGAGAGAGAGAGAGAGAGAGAGAGAGAGAGAGAAGCACACAGAAACACACAGAGAAACAGAGACAGAGAACACTCATTTATGGACATCCCTATTGCTGCTATTGTTTGAAATCCCAACGTGCTATTTGTTTAGTACCAAATTCTCTTTTTCCCTTGTCTAGTAGCTGTCCCTGGACATGTCTTTCACCAGATGCTTACCCGTTCTAACATCCTACCACTGTTCCTCATCTGGCCTGTTTTTTTTTTTTTTTTTTTTTTTTTTTTTTTTTTTGCCATCTAAGCTCCAGCTTTTAAACACACTATCAATAGAGAGTACCTGCCAAGGAATTTGACCTGGTTTGGCGTTTTCTCCACCAACAATTCGAGTGAAATCATTAAATGATTCACTATTTTCAGTGGCATTATCCAGAATGGTGCTGTTAATGATGTCATCCAGAATGAATTCAGCTTCAGTAGAATTTTCATAGCCCATATCAGAAAAGACAGTCTCTGCTCGGGTGAGCTTCTTAGAACTGTAGGAAACAGACACTCTTCCGCATGGAAATGGAACTACAGAAATAGAAAAAGAGGAGAATATTCTGCTATTTCCCAGTGGAAAATGGAACTGCATTACAAAACTCAAGACGGACACACATGCATTGCTGTCACTTTGGAGAGGTAGGCCCATCGATACTAAAACATGAATAGAGTTCCAACTAAAGGCTGGCTGAATTACTTTCATGCCAAGTTTTTAAAGCTTCCACGGGGAAAGAACTTTGGAATCAACCATCTTTATGGAAATAAAATGGGTGTTATGAAATAAAATTTATAAGACTTTTTTTTTTCAAATCTAATTACTTTCTATCTAACTTAGTTAAAGTCTCACTTCCAAGCCCCCTTCCCCTGATTGGAAATCTGGAAGGGATGCTATGTAACTTTCCTCCTAAGATAAGGCAAGAAAGAGGCATCCTTCCACTAATCCCTATCAACAGGGTCTCTTTGGTCGACTGTTATTGTATGGGAGATTCCAATGTGGAAGTTTTGAAGAGAGCCCATTGTGATTCAATTGTATTTGTCAAGAATTTACCAAATAGGTATAGGCTACTAATAAGATAACCAAAGCTATATTTATGTGGCTCTGATCATCTCTCCCCACCCTTTGGTTTGGTTTATTTCCCATCAAATCATCTACTAATAAACTGAGGACTACTAAAATGGACATTTGTATCAAACGAAGTCACCTCACACTTCATTTTCATGTTTTCCTCTTCTCTTAGTTACCTTCCATGTTCCAGACATTTGTATAGCAACCATCTATGGCTAAGTATCATGAAGGCAGGTTGTGGTTGAAAACATAGGACATTAGTTTAAAATACTTATGGATAAATATACAGGATCAACAATGGCTTGAGGAAAGAGACCACTGTCTTTGAACAGAACAGCTTATATTAGGTTTGGCCTACTTACTCTGCTAAAGTTGAGGCTGCATTTGAATATGACTCTTAATAGTTGGAGGTGCTTTTCAATTTTAATTGTCCTCTTAGAACATAGAAGGGCTTCTAAGGACTGAGCTTCTGTGCCAGCTGCCTTCACTGGAAGTTAGCTTTTAACGTTAAACGTGCACAGATTGCATGCCCCCGTGTGTGCACGCGCGCGCACACACACACACACACACACACACACACACACACACACACACACTTCTCCTAAGGCAAGCTGTGGGTAAGGCAGTGTATGTGAAGAATCAGGCAGAAGGACCGGCAGAAGGTGAAGCATCATTTTACTTGCAGCAGATAGACTCTTGTATTCTGGCCCTTTCTTTAATTTCCTCTGCCTGGTACATTGCTGAGATAGGTATCAAACCCACAATTACAGAGGAATGGTTCCTAATTTAATGTACCAATTTCATGAAAGATCTTGCCTTGGAAATGCAGGAGAAACTGTATCTGGCTTGCTTCAAAATTGTGCTTTTTTTATTTGTGAGTGGGCACATATGTGTGCTGGTGTGAGTGCCCAAGCCTGCATGTGTGGAAGCCTGGGTTGACATCAGGCATCCTCATTTATTTCTCTGCTTTCTAAATTACTTTCTGAGACTGGGTCTCTCACCGAACCTGAAGCTCACCATTTCTGGCTGATTCTCTCTTCTCCCCCCCCCCCCTTCAGTGCTGGTATCATGGGTTTACACTGCCTGGCTTTTATGTAGTAGGGATCTGAACTCAGGTCCTCATCAGGCCCTTTATTTTCCTTCTTTTAGTCTTGCAAAGCTTGTCTCCCCCTGCCCCCCCATCAGAACTATGGCGTCAGAGGTGAGCAATGACTGTGGAGATTTTCTAAACATAGCAATTATCTGTCAATATGGCAGCATGCTCACACAACTGTGGAACGTTGTTTTGTCCTTTACTGTACAGGCTGTGTGGCTCAGCCTAGGAGAGCACAAACAGTTGCTGGATTCTGTCTGACAGCAAGTATAGAAAGCCAGTTTATGAGTCGTCAGGAAATAATTTTCACACACTAAACTCACTAGGCCTCCAACAGACTTATACTTAGCACTTAGCATCTTTTCACTAGAAACTTGCTAGTCAGGTAAGTATTTATATGTCTTTTTCCACTATGGTAACACATTATTAGTTTTATCTGCTGAGTCTCAAACATTGCAAATAGAGATCACACAAATCAATTTCTTTGTGATATAGAAATCAGAGAGAGAGGAAAAAAAAAAAACACGGACCCAGAACAGAATTCAAGCTGTACATAATTACTGAATTTAAGTACTTAAATGTACTTAATGTACTTTGTCCATTTGAAGCTACTAACCGTTTGTTCAGTTTCAGAAGGGAGTAGATACAAGTAAGTATTGAAGTAAGGTAACCTAGGAGCCGAAGAGATTTCTCAGTGGTTAAGAGAAATGACTACTTGCACAGAGGAACTGAACCTGGGTTGTCAGGGGAGATATGGATGGCAGTGAAGCACCTACACGTTAGCTCACTCAGCCTCTGTACCTCCATTCCAGTGGATCTGATGCCTTCTTCTTACTTCCCTGAGCATTGCACACACATGGTATAATACACACATGCATACAAGATACTCACATAAAAATAAATAAATCTTTTTTTAAAGTCAAAATTATGTTAGTTTAAGTGCTAAAGATTCAAGAACAGATTTTCATTAAATAGCTTATTTAGATTTTGACCTGCTGGCTCACAGGACTTCTGGTCTTCAGCAAGTTGGTATCCGTCAGTGCAGGAACAAAGTACCTTGTTATCAGCACCGTTTTTACAAAACTGCTTGCACCTGCCATTTTTAATGTTACATGTTGCATCTAAAGGAAAGAAAAAAAACCCTAATGGCTTATCTGACATACATTAAAAAATTACACAGAACTACTGGCTCATGTGTAAGTTAAACATAAATTGAAACGATCTGGGAGCCTTTTGCTAAGAGTAGAAAATGAGCTAACATAACATTGTCAGTAAGTTGTGAAGGTGGTATTGCTAATATTTTGACTTTGTGTATGACCAAATAATTGGATATTATACTTGGAATAAAGTATGAGCTTCAACTAGCAACCTATTTATTTAAGTAGAAAGCAAATTCAAGAAAGTAAAAATAAAAAAAAAAATTGGGTGAATCTTTGCAAAGTAAATGCACCCATTCGAATGTTGCACAGATTAATACACAGGACATTATCAATGCAGCAATCCTGTAAAGTTCCCTCCCAATCATTCTACCCCTCCTTACTTTATAGAAGATATCACTACCTGGGCTTTAACCATAGTAAACAGCTTTGATAGTTCATGTACTTTATGTAAACAGTATATATATTCTTTTCTTTTAGCAATGTATTTGTGAGATTCATCTATATGATTTTGTATAGCAATAGTTCATTTATATTTCTGTGTAGTAGTTCATTGTGTTAATAAAATTTTTATCCATCAGTTTTATTGTTAAAAATATTAAGGGTGTGTGTGTGTGTGTGTGTGTGTACCCATAGAGGCCAGAGTGTGTTTAGACTACTTGTAAATCTTTCTTTTATTACAAAACACTTAAATTTCACTTTGTCCCAAAACTTTCTATTTATTTTGGTATAAATATAATTGGTATTTGCATGTTCCCTCCATACCTAGCATCCTTTCTGTGTGTTTATTTATTTTAGTTCTTTCAACTTCGTGTGAGAGATAGTTCACAGCGCTTACTGGTAGTCCAGTAAATCAGGAGAGAAAAGAAACTGCTATCAAGGGAAGGGAATAAAGGAGTCAACCTGAGATTTCACTTTTGCTACCAACAACCCACTAAGTGCTTAATAAAAAGATAGCATCTGGTCTTTTGCATTTACTTAGTTTTTAGTACCTTTCCCCTCATCAGTGTCAATAATATCTCTGGCTCCTTTCTTGTTCCTAGCTATCATATCATTGCTACAAAGCAATACTAAAGTGTTCAGCCAAATCAAATACTACTTGTAGAAAATGTTCCATCAATATGACATTGTGATAAGTTAACAGAAGTGGGTGGTAAGAACAGACTAGTTGTGTCCAGGGCAAGTGTGACAGGAATGAGTAAACTTGGCATGCTTTCTCTATTCTGCTTCTGTGTCCTCGGTTGAGCAATCAGACCTCTCAATCATTTTCTTATTTGCCGTTGCCTTTCTGGCCCAGCATGTTGCTGCTACTCTTGATCCCTGGTTTGGTTGGTGCATGTGGCGGGATGTATTGCTGTAGCATCAGCAGGCTTTGGCCTGCAGTAAAAGCATCAGGATTCTAGAAATAGAATTATACCATAAGAAACTCCAGGGGAGAGGTCAATAGAGCAGGGCCTGAGAAACAGAATGGAACTCATCATTGAGCACTTAGATGTCACACACTAGGTGGCCGATGGGTTTTCCTTAGTCCTGACAACACCAGGTTGCCTTCCAGAGCTGTAACAAAATTCTGTTTAACAGGTTTGCCAGAAAATATGATGTTATTCAGCTATACACAACCCTTTTTCCCATTCCCAAAATACATAATAAATGAGATAGTTGGGTCTGTGGTGTCCTGCAAAAATTAAAACAAAACAAAAACCCATAGGACAAACTCAGAATATTCTTTTGTTTATATATATTTTTTCTTCCCACTCTTTTTCTGTTAGGAAATGTTTCGTGTATTCTTTAGGAGGACAGGATGACTAGATTCTTGCAGACCTGGATCTACCTGGTGATAAATTTTTGGATTTCTTTTGCAGCAGAGGAAATCTGAGATCTTTAGTCCGGCCAAAGGGAGCCAATGAATTCTTTTTTTTTTTTTTTTTTTTTCTAACTAGAAAGCATGCACCAAATGTTTGCTCCTCATTCCCCCGACTGAGAACTCTGATGAACAGGGGAAAAAGAAAGCAAAAGGTCACGGTAGTGGAAATCTTTGCTTTTCCTAGACAAGGTGAGCCATGGGCCCACACACCTATACAGTGCTGCCTCATGACTTTTCACATTTGTGTTTGGTTCAGCTGGAAGCCAGAAGCTTAAATGGGAGTCTGTATATGCTTTGTTGTTGCTCTCCTCTCCTGTCAGAGAAAAAGAACATTCTGACAGAATCCCATTTTCTTTTTGAACCTGCTGAGCTGAAAAGGTTTTTTAAAAATCCTTTTTCAAATTGGTTGGGTGTGATCAATATACCCTAGAGGCTAAGCGCGACGGTGGCTGTCGTACAGCTACAGAGCCCTGACCAAACAGAGATGTGGGGACCAAGGAGTACTGGGATGTTGCCAGTTGTAGATGGAGCACTTTTTCTCTGTGGACCACAACCTCCCACATATTGTTAGAGCATTTGGGAGCTTATGTTCGCAATCCTCGCGGCTCTTCTTTTCCTCCTTTTAAACTGTCTGTCTTTTAAAACAACACAGAGGACCGGAACACTGACTCATTGGTTAAGAGCATTTGCTGCTTTTTCCAGAGGAACCAAATTCCGTTCCCCAAATCCACAAGGCTCACAGCCACTTTGCTCCAGCTCTAGGGGGGATTCCATGCCACCTTCTGGCCTCTTTGGGCATTGCATGCACATGGTACCCAGATAATACATGCAGAAAAAACATCCTTAAACATAAAATAGAAATACATAAACTAGATAGGCACAGTTTTAAAATTTCAAGTTATTTCATTAATGTATTTTATATGCATGGCTAAGTTTTATCTGCATGTAAGTCTGTATGCCATATGCATGTCTGGTGCCTGCAGATGCCAAAAAAGAGCTTTGAACTGTAGTTACAGACAGTTGTAGACAATTGTGAGCTAACATGTAGGCTCTGGGAATTGAAGCCAGGTCCTCTGGAAGAACAGCCAATGCTCTTAACTCCATCTCAACCTTTATGTTTGCAATGATCATCTACTATATGGTGGCCTTCAATGATAACAGACTGAGTTATCCATTGCCTTCATGCCAATAGTTCTATCATCTGAACCAGTAATGATAAACTACTCAAAGTATTCTTGTAGATATCTGAAATATGAGGACTAAATTTTACTAAGTCCGAACTTGAAATGATAATCTTTCAGAATGAATGGCACTTTGGAGATGTTGAGCCAATGAACACACCCACAGGAGTGGGAGCTCAAGTAGTGGCTTATTGCTACACCAGGGACCCTAGACAAATGGAAGCCCAGCCTGAGTTTATTAGTTACCTACTTGCATTCATCCTTTCTTTTTAAATTCCTTTGTCCTTTCAACTTTTCTTTTTATTCTGAGATCTTCAGATCTCAAAGGAAAATGATCAATGCACTTCCCCTTGGCACGGAACAACATTACAAGGACTTTTATTCCCTTTCCTCAATAAGACAAGTGCAGCTGCTGCCTTTCATTTTATGCCTTGTTCATCTGTCAGAGAGATGGCTATATTGCCTTAATAGTGTCCTGATACTCTTCCACTCTTTATCCTTAGCCCTGTAGCCCGTGGTGTTAAATTCTTTCCTTCAGATTGCACCTCTTTTCTCCTAGAATTTCAGAGTGCAAAATCTTTTATGGAACCATGTGCTCCTCTCAGTCACAATGCCAGCCATACTGCATCTAGAAGCAGTAATCAAGTAGGGAAAGGGCATTGGGGTTCACTGCTCAAATCACAAAAATCTCTAAAACAAAGAAGCTAGGCTATGAGAAGAAAAGGTAAACAAAACCTTACACTTGCAAGTTACTCCCCCCACCCGTTACTCTTTGATATGACCAATACTGTTGAATTGAGGGACAATCTCTGGTTTTTATAACAAATTTAACTTATGAAATGCTTTGTACAGCTGGAAGACTTCCTATTACATGGGGCCTATCATGCCCAGGTCTGTAGACTGTGCAGTTCCTCTGCTAGATCAATAGCAACTCAGGCACAAGTTCAAACCATTTGAATGGGTGCTGTTTTCTCAGGGTTTTGTATTCAGTTCAGTTGAAGTTCCCTTCCAGGCTCAGCCATTACTACCTCTTATATTTGTTCTGTAGTCTTCTAATGTTCATAAAATGGGGATGATAATAATATTGAGCACATAACATATGACTGTATTTAGGATTAATAAGTAAAGGGGGTGGATTATTACCACTCAATACTAGCTTGGATTCATATACTGAAAGCTGAGTACAGAGAAAGTGAATGTTTATAGGCTTTGAAAGTTTGTTTTAAGAGAAATGTGTGCTGTATACATATTTCAATTTCCTGTTTAAAAAGCAAACTTTGAACCATGAATAATAAGAAAGTTACTTACCTAATTCACAGTTCCTTCCTTCAAATCCAACTTGGCACCAACATTCATAGGAATTAATATCGTCCTTGCATTTTCCGCCATTTAGACAAGGATTTGACTCACATTGATCCCCATCTTTAAGACAGGTTAAGAAATTGATTTATCAGACAAACTGCTTAGAATGCTCAGACTTCCCCTGCATTGATCTATGAGGGTGGGATTCTGATTTTAGGGTTAGAGAAGAACTACCAAGCTGCAAGCTAACTGCATATGGCAAATGATGCACCTGTTTTTCCAAGTTTCTAAAAGCCACTGCAACAAAATCCAGAGCCATCCTGGAAACTGCACAGAGGGAGGTATTTACAGTTTATACAACCCAAGGGAAGAAGGAGGATGCGTTTGTATGGAAATGACTATATTTGCAGACAATGAGAGAGATTGTTCATATTTCTTCATGGAATGGGAACAGGTTAATCATAAGTCAAATCAAATTGAACCACTTCAACAAATACTATTTATATTTCACATGAGGACATTTTATTGCAGGTATTGCAGAGCAAGCTGTTTTAGACAATAAAGGCGTTTCCACTCAAGGAACTGGCAGCCCATGCACAGACATCGATGTACAGTGCCTCATCAGAAACTTAAAAGTACTATTGGATGTGCCTTAGGAATAGACTTGCTGTTTCCATTCTGTGTTGTGAAGTTTCTATATGTACAGTATTTGAAGACACCAATAGTAAAACAGACAAATGAACGAGGAAACAAACAAATAAACAAACAAACAGGAAGAAGGAATAGGCTAGAGTGGAAGGCTCATGAATAGAGGGGAACCTTTAATTCTGCTTTCTTAGGGATTGGCCTTCATTTATACCACTATAAGAAAGCTTCATTGGGGAATAGGGTGAATCCATCTAGAAGGAGAGAGCTATGTATTTTGACCTATAGAAAAATTGCTAACTAGGACTCCACATTCGAGAAAGAAAACCATAAGATAAAATGGTATTAAAGGTCAAAGAGAGAAAAAGGGGTGAATCAAAGAAAAATTTCTAGTTATTAGCCATACTTTATATATAGCCAAACTCCTTGACATATATTGTGTAGATTCCCATATACTTTTCCTACTGCCTGATAGAAGCATGCATCTAGGTTCTGTAGACTAAGGGACTAGAATCCTTTTTCAGAAATAAACTCTCTGGAAAATTGGATTGCTGTAAAAATTAGACCTTGCCCTCTCTGCCCCTTGATCCAATGTGCTTTTGTACAGATACTGCAATTTGTTCCAGTTCTATGAAAACAAAATATATTATCTCTGGTTTATTATTATTGATGTTCAGAATGGTCTAAAAACGAGCTACATTTGCACTTTACATTATAGACCAATGAATCTGAATTATTTAGGGTGTTTCAGTGAAAGGGTCTGGGCTTGCAGCCAGCCACACAGAAAACTCATTTGCTGAGACATATCTTCAAAATGAGTGTCATTTTATTTTGCATTTAGTCCTCCTTTGGGTTTCTATCTCTGTGTACTATAAGCCAGGAGAAAGCCATAGTTAGTAGGGGTCAAAGACAGCAGGAGACAAGACCAGACAAATGGGATTATCCTTTAATGCTGCTGGGTTCTGGTACTGAAGAGGTGGCTCAATGGTTAAGAGCACTTGCTGTTCCTGTAGAGGATCTGAGTTCAGTTCCCACCACACACATGGTTGTTTATTGCAGCTCATAACTCCAGTACCAAGGTATCTGATGCCCCCTCCCTCCATGTTACGAGGCATACATGTGGTACACAGACACACATACAAACAAAATACTTAATACACATAAGATGAAAAGAAATAAACCCTTAACAACAATAACAGCATCACCAGCAGCAACAGCAGACTACTAGGTCCCTATTTAATGAATAATAACATTCAGACTTTAAGGTCATGAAGTGTTACAGTGAAAAAGGGGGTGGGTAAGAGAACTTGGATTCTCTTCCAGGTCTTGGGGCTCCCCAGCTGGGTGATCCAAGGCAAATCCCTTACCCTGCCTAGTGAAACAGAATTCATAATGCTTCTGACATGGGAATGTGTGAGGGTTAAATGTGATGGGCATTGTAGAGACTGCTTCTGTGAACTGTACACTCTACAGGGTACCTGGCAGATGCTAGTTTAGTCAGGCTCTGTGCAGATGAGGTCATGGTACAGAATGTCACAGCAGTAAGGGCCCTGGTCCCAGGCTATTTCTGAGTAGTACAGGCTACTTTCATGGTAGGTAGGAATCTTAAGTACACGTGAAAACAGACATGGGGTTTGTTCCTTTTCTGTTCTTGTTTGTATTGTTTAGGTTTTGGTAGTGAACATAATAGTGACAGAGAGTATGCCCTTGAGGTTTCGTGGGATTTGTAATCAAGGTATAACAAACATTGCATTTGCTCACCTACAAAGCAATCGCCCAACTTCAAAGTGTGCCACTGGGGCTGAGGCAGGGGCTGAGGCAGGGGAGGGGGCTGGGGCAGGACGAGGACTGGGGAGGGGCTGAGGCAGAAGCGGGGGCTGGGGCGGGGCTGAGGCAGGGCCTGGGACTGGTATGCATGTTGGGTGGGCAGTGTGGAAGGATCTTGAGAGTTCAACTGTAGCTAGAGTAAATGCTGATGAGTTTTGTTTCGTGTGTGTGTGTGTGTGTGTGTGTGTGTGTGTGTGTGTGTGTGTGTGTGTGCGCGCGCGCGTATGTTGAAGTCAATTCTATGTGTTTTTCTTCACTCACTTATGCCATTGTTTCTGAGATATTCTCTCACTGAACTTGGAGAACATTAGGCTAAGCTGGCTAGCCAGAAAGCCCCAGAGATCTTTGTCTCCCGCTCCTCTGTGCAGGGATTATAGGCAAGCACCACTCACACCTCGTTTTAGTTTTTTTTTTTTTTTTTAAGAATTTATTTTATTATTTTCTGTTTTTTATTGTGTTACCACATTTTAATTAAAACATAATTCCCAACATTTCCCATTTCCTTTGTATCCTCTACCCTTACCTAAAACCCCTCCTCCCTCCAACTCCTTCCATGCTCCCCACTCTAAAATTGGTAATCTTTTTTCTTTGATTATTATTGTTAAATATACATACACACAAGCGTACATACATAAATATGTACATATCCATGAACAATATTTAACTGCAACATTCTAGGCCGTTTTTTGATTTTTGCGTGTATATGATTTCAGGGTTGTTGAAGTCATGGGTCTTAAAAGAGAAACTACTACTGCCACTTTGCTAGACCAGAATAACTCCTAACTACACTCTAAATCCTATCCTGTAAGTGTAACTACCACCTCTCACCAAAGAAGCCTCTCCCTACAGCAAATGGGAACCATCCTAGAAAACACCACTGGATACAGTATAGAATCAAAAGACCATGGGGGAACCCAGCCCCAGTAAATACATCTGCATCACAGTTCTTGCATTTTTGGCCCAGTGATCATTACAGAAATGGGGATAGAATGATTGTAAGGGTCGGAATACCAGAAAGTATACTGTGAAATAGTCTTTCCTAGAAATTGCTGCATAAACAAGAGCTGAACAAGGCAATATCAACAGGCACGCTAATGTGGAAGGGGGAGGAGAGTCCCACCCTTAGGCAAAGACTTACAGGCAACTGCTGAGAGAGACAACTACATCTGCAAAGATTATCCTCCTATATTGGTTACCAAATACTAAGTGGTCAGTCCTGGAACCATATACCAAATACACACAAACAACAAAATGGTGGGTGATCTCCTCAGTAACCACAAATAGTATAAAATATCTTGGGGGTAATGCTAACCAAACAAGTGAAAGACCTGTATGACAAGAACTTTAAGTCTTTAAAGAAAGAAATTAAAGAAGATATCAGAAAATGGAAAGATATCCCATGGTCTTGGAAAGGTAGGATCAATATAGTAAAAATGGCAATCTTGCCAAAGGCAATCTACAGATTCAATGCAATCCCCATCAAAATCCCTGCACAATTCTTCACAGACCTTGAAAGAGCAATAGTCAACTTCATATGGAAAAAAAAACAAAAAACCCAGGATAGTCAAAACAACCCTGTACAATAGAGGATCATCTGGGGACATCCCCATCCCCTGACTTTAAGCTCTACTATAGAGCTAAAATAATGAAAACAGCTTGGTATTGGCACAAAAAATAGACAGACAGGTAGAAAAGTGATATCCAACCTATAGATTAAAAAAAAAAAAGATCAGGATACAAGTGTCTAAACTGGCAGAGCTATCAGGGAACAGGTTGAAGTATTAACATCTGATAAAGGGAGGACTCACTGAGTTAGCAGAATTTAGGCAAAGGACCTGAGCAAGTTAGGGAAGTGAGCCTCACAGAAGCGGTAAGAGTCAGTGAACAGGGACAGCCAGATAAATCCTCTAACGTGGGAAAACTGCTAGGACGTGCATGGAACCCCTATGTGGAATGAGGAGAGTAGTAGTAGATATGATCAGAAGGGCAACAGGAAAGGGTGGCAAATCAAGACATGGAGGGCATTGGAGGCCATCCCAGTGATGAGGATTTAACATAGTAAATAAACATTGCCAGTCAGAATCTTTAACTCCAAAAATGACAGCAAACTTCCATTCAGCTCTGAGATGCAATTGTTTTTCTTTCTTCCTCTTTCTTCTTTCCTGCATTTGGAGCTTTTTTTTTTTAAACTGAGACTTTATAACCTATACTAACATATAGAAAAAAAATACAATTCTTAAATGTTTCATATAGCAACTAGGAAATAAAATGAATTGCTTACCAACATACTGCTTCCAAAATTCAGTCTGTAAGAAAAAAGAAGAAAACTTATTGATAATGTTTAAGGTATTTGTGGATTCCCTTTCTTTTATAACATGTGTGAAACACTGTGGACTGATATTTTAAAATTTCAAATACAAGCTTCTTTTAAAAATTGATTTAAGATTAGTTTTCATTTTGTTTTATGTGTATGGGGTGTTCTGCTTGCATGCATACATGCACCATGTGCATGAAATACTCACATAGGCCAGAAGAGGGTGCTGGATCTCCTAGAACTGTAGTTAGAGATGTTTGTGAGCTTCCATGTGGATGCTTGGAATCTAACCCTTGTCCTTTGGAATAGGACACTGAGCCATCTCCCGATTCCCCCAGTCCTTTGTAAGAAATGATGGTTTCCATCTTTTTCTTTGGAACATATTGCTCTGGTATGATCTGGGTATACTCACAGTTTTTTCAGTGTTTTCAAAAACTTCTCGTGCTTCTTCAAAACTACACCTTTCTTCTATACATTCTCTCTCAAGGTTTCCTTGAACAAACTCTTCCAGCTTCCCTGAATTATATCTTTTTGGACGGATAAGAATTTTGGTGGCATTTTCACGATCAAGGAAAACTGAAATTGAAAAGAAACTTTCTTTAGTTTTGGAAAAAAGAAAACACTCTGAAAATGAAATATGTCTTTTAAGGAAAGGTTTGTTTTCCAAGGTCGTATCACCCATCCACATCGTCCACATCATAGCCAGGACAAAAACCCCAGGGCTCCTGAGGCTCAGCCTCAAGCTAGTTTCCATTCTACCACATTCTTATTCTTCACAGCATCAGGAAAAAAAAATCACTTTTACATAGGTCTCAGTTAGAAGGCCTGGGCCGTCTAAGGGACCTCTGACAGTGGAACCAGGATGTATCCCTGGTGCACAAAAGGACTTTGGGAGCACATTCCCCATGGAGGGATACTCCCCTAACCTAGAGGGAGGAGGGAGGGCCTAGTCCCTACTCCAAATGACTTGACAGATTTAGATGACCCCTCCTGGAAGGCATCACCCTATATGTGGAGTGGGGGGGGGAATGGGAGGGTGGTTGGGGGGCATGGGAGGGTGGGGTTGAGCGGGGGAGGGAGAGTGAACTGGGATTGATATGTAAAATAATAATAATAATAATAATAATAATAATCATAAAATAAAACAGTAATAATAGTTAAAAAGAAAATGTTTGTTTTTGATCCTAGTAATTCTATAGCTAATTTCTCTTTGATGTTCTCACAGTACTGTATATACTCTGAGATTTTGAAAATAAAATTCAATTTTACTTTTAGTCAGTAGAGCTCCAATAATAAAAGGTCACCTTTTCAGCAGTACTTGTATTTAACTTTGGATGAAAAAGAAAGTTCTTAAATAAGCAGTTCACACATTGTCATTACTTGAAAATATCTCAGTGCAGTATCCTTGCAAGGTGATCCATCATCACCCTGGCTGGGTTGTTTGCAAGACATAGTCTCCCAGTGACTTTGCATCAAATATCCCATGAAGAACAGAAGCCCTGATTTTATTTGTTTTTGTTTTGAGGGATAGATAGATAGATGGATGGATGGATTGACAGTAGATATATAGATAACATTAAGTTGGAATTTGGGTGGGTAGAGATATATGGAGGATCTAGAAGGAGTTGGGGAGGAGAAAGAATATGATCAAAATATTTTGTATGAAAATATATTAAACAAGAAGAAGAAGAACAACAACAAAAGCCCAACTGTAGGCCAGCTGTAAATGTGAGCCCAGTGCCTCTCATGGGATAGTGAGAAACAATCATGCCACAATTGATTTTATCTTCAGGCCCAGGATACTATTAGTTGGTACATAAATTCCAGTGATACAAGCCTACTTTGTAGGACACTTCTGCTTTTTTTGAGGATTGAAGGCTTTGAATTTTCTGCCTTCTTCTGTTTCCTTTTCTTTGCTTCTTCCTATTTGTATCTATTTCTGCCTCTCTGTCTCTTTCCCTCTGCATATATACATGTGTATATATGTATGTGTATATGTTTACATATGTTTATGTATGTGTATAATGTATGTTATCAATAGCAGAAGCCTGAAAAGCTGCTTGGAGTAGTTCCTTTTCTAAACAGACCAGCAATATTGGGGCTGGAGAGATTGCTCAGTGGTGATCTCACAGAGGATCTGAGTTTAACTCCCAGTTCTTAACATAACATGGCTCACCACTGCGTGTAACTCCAGTACCAGCGTATCTGATGTCCTCTGACCTCCACAGAGAGGCACCTGCACTTATGTGGTGTACAAAAAGTCAATCTCATATGCATACACACAAATAAAACTAATAAATAAATGTTAGAGACAGCATCAATGAGGCTGATAATATTTCTAACTGAACTCTCTAGGACATTTAGTACTACTTTCTCATTAACTCAAAAGGGAGGAAGAAATGGAACTTAATTTTATTACCTTATTTTTGCAATAGTTCTTTCCTTTATGGAACATTCTAGTTCATTGACATCTTGGCCTCTGAACCCCTTTGGGAACATTTTCCCAACCCCTAAATTTACTTTAAGTATCTTCCTATCATTCCTCCCTTGCCAACTTCCCCAATTCATTCTATCTCTTGTTAGTGCTTTGTTTACTAGGCAGTCTCAATGATGCAGGTGTGGATATCACCAAGTTGCCTGTGGGTACCTTAGTGTATTTATATCTCAGTTACTATCTATAGTAATCCATCTGCTTGGTTCAAGTCACTCCTATAGAACACGTATGATGGTACTGATCTATAGTGTGGAGGAATGACAAATAAGGCTGTAATCAGGTTGGACGGGATTTCAATCAGGAATCTAACTTTTATTGACTGTGTAAACATGAACAAGTCATATGTCTGGACCTTAACTTTCTCAAATGTAAATAAAATGGGTGCAACAGAGTGTAAGAACGCGTACCTCATCATCATGTTGACAGGATCTCAGAGATAAACTATAAGTCAGTGTATCCCTGATTACTAACTTTCCCCCAATTTTCTCATGCTTATCCCCTTTTCTTTGTTTCTTAGCTTTCTCCCTTCTCCAGCCCTTCTATGCACTTTGTAGTGCCTTTACTTCCCTCTTGCCCTCTGTGCAAGGAAATTACTATGGCCATTATTGGTAGTAATCTTGTAAAGAATCCCTTTGACTTCATGTATTTCCTGACTGCTCCTTGTCACACAATAGAGGATCATCCTAGATTTAGAGGCAGGAGTCATACTGCAGTCCCCTTGCTGTGTGGGTATTATCAACCTGTACTCAATCCTTCAAATACTCTATATATGTTTCCTAAGCCTTTCATGTGGATGTGGCTACTGAATCATTTCAGCTCTTTTTCATTATTATCACTTCAATTGTCCATCTTTTCTTTATGGCTACTGTCAAGGTTCTGATCATCCCCCCCCATTTGGATGATTTCTAGAGACTTAAGATTGGACTTCCTAGACTCACCAGAGTGAGCATTATAAATTATAACACAGTGAGGGGTATGTTTCTTACACTTAACATTGTTACACCTCCACATTTTCTCTACTGTTCCATCTCCTTAACTTATGACCCTTTTAAAATTTCTTAGATGATCTGGCATACCCCATTTTCTTGCCTCACTTCTAACAGTCAATATTCTAACAAGATATAGCATCTGGAATATTTACATTGTTGTGGGTGTGGCTCTTTCTATGTGAGGGTTACTATCTATGTAAAATAGTTACATTAGTGATTGTTTTTATTGCTCTCTATATTTCATTATATATATACATATACATATATATGATATTATATGCACATGTGTGTGATGTATGTGTGGATGGGTGAATGTATGTGTTCTGGCTAGTTTTCATATCAACTTGACACAAGCTAGTGCCATTTTGGAAGAGGGCAACTCTTCTGTAAATATGTTCCCATCAAATACGCCTGTGGTGCATTTTCTTGGTTGATGATTGATGCAGGAGAGCCAGGCTTATTGTAGGCTATGCTACCCTGTGCTGGGAGTACTGAGTTTTGTAAAAAAGCAGGCTGAGCACGCCTTGAGGAGCTAGATAGTCA